GTTAAATAGAATTATCATCCAGCATCTACACTCCTAGGTGTATGCCCAAAGGAATTGAAAGTAAACTCAAACAGACACTTGTGCACAAATGTTCACAACAGCATTGTTCACATTAGCCAAAAGGTGGAAACAACCCAGTTTCCATCAACAGATGAAAAGATAACCAAATGTGGTCTGTCCATATTATGGAATAGTATTCAGCCATCTAAGGAATGAAGTGAGGTAGGAGTCCAAGTGCCTATCTGGTTGTCCCAGCACCATTTGTTAAAGAAACTGTTCTTTTTCCATTACATGGTCATGGCACCCTTGTCAAAATCAATTTTGCCTATTAGATGTATGGGCTTATTTCTAGACACTCAATTCTTTTCCATCAGTCTATCTATGTTCATGCCAGTACCACACTGTTTTGATCCCTACAGCTTTGTAGTAAGTTTGAAAATCAGGAAGTGTGAGTCCTCTAACTTTGTTATTCTTTTTTGAAATTGTTTTGGCTTTTCAAGGCCCATTGCCATTCCATGTGAATTTTATGATCATCTTGTCCATTTATGAGAAAAAGGAAGCTGGGATTTTAATAGGATCTGAATAGAATCTGTAGATCAATCTGGGGGAATAGGGCCGTTTTAACAATACTAAGTCTTCCAATCCATGAACATGGGATGTCTTTCCAATAAGTCATCTTTGATTTCTTTTACCAAGTCTCTTATCTCTGTGGTCAGAATTATTCCTGAGTATTTTATTTTGGATGGCATTTTAAGTGGAATTGTTTTCTTGATTTCCTTTTGGGGATGGTTACTGTGCGTGTATAGAAACACAACTGATTTTTGCGTGTTGACCTTGTATCTTGCAAATTTGCTGAATTCATTTGTTTCTGGATTCAAATTCGCTGGATTCAAAGTTCTTTTTGTGGATTCTTTAGGATTTTCTCTGTATAAGATCATGTCACGTTTGAATAGAGAGAGTTTTGCTTCTTCCTCTCCAGTTACATGTCTTTGGTTTCTTTTTTCTTCTTAATTGCTCCGGCTAGAACTTCCAGTACAGTGTTGAATAACAGAGGGGAAAGTGGGCATCCTTATCTTGTTCCTGATCTTAGGGGGAATATTTTCAATTATTCACCATTGAATATGATGTTAGTTGTGGGGTTTTCGTAAATGCTCACTATTGGTTGAGATACTTCCTTTAAATTTTAGTTTGTTAAAATTTTTTTATCATGAAAAGCACTGGGTTTTGTCACATGCTTTTTCATTATTTTTCATATGTTGAATTATTCTTCCATTCTTGGGATAAACCCCACTTGGCATAGTGTGTAATCATTCTAATATACTGTTGGATTTAGTTTGCTAGTGTTTTGTTGATGATTTTTCCATCTCTGTATTCATAAGGAATTTTAGTCTGTAGTTTTTTTGGTCTGATGTCTTTTCCAGCTTTGGTATCAAGGCAACGCTGGCCTGTAGAATGAGTTTGGAATATTTTTGTTTTTATTTTTAGTTGTAGTTTAGTTTAATTTAGTTTAATTTACTTATGTTGGATGCAAGTCTCTTATGATATATAGTACTTGCAGATGTTTTCTCCCAGTCTGTGGTTGTCTTTTCACTTTCTTGATGGTATCCTTTGAAGCACAAAGTTTTTAACATTGAGGAAATCCAGTTTATCCATCTGCTTTTTTATGATTTATGCTTTTGTTGTCATGTCTAAGAAATCACCACCTAACCCCAGATCACAAAGATTTATGCCTGTATTTTCTTTTCAGGATTTTGTAATTTTAACTCTTATATTTGGAGTTACAATCCATATTGAGTTGATTTTGTGCATGATGTGATGTAGGGTCCAATTTCATCTTTTGCACGTGGATATCCAGCTATCCCAGCACCCGTTGCTGAAAAGACTGTTCCTTATTCCTTGCCTGTTGAATTGTTTCGGCCCCTTCATCAAAAAGCAATTGGTCGTAGACTCTGAGTTGCGTAAGTATATATTTGCCTTCACTTGGGACTGTTTCCTACTCTGGTCCTGCTTTATTGTGCTTCTGACCTCATTGGTTTTGTCTTTTATTTCCAGCCTGTGCTTATTTCTTGTGTGTGAACGCAAGCTCAATTTTGGGGGTTTCAGACTTCTGTACCACATTAACCTTAGCTTTTGAGCATCCTTTTGATACTTATGCTCTAAGGTATCCAAGTAACTCTCTTCCTTGACCATCCCCCCTGCCATGCTTGCCCTTGAGCTATTGAGGGATAGTGGGACACTAGGTAGAGAATTTGAATCAGGAGATAGTGTCCAAGCCCAGTCAGCCTCCCAAAGAACCCACCCCCATCTTGGCAGGGTCCATATTTTCCAGGGCCCACATATTAGAACATGGTATCTGATGTCAAATATTCACCAATGTAAACAATAAATTGCCTGGCTTCATTTATACCACATTTTTATTTTTCCCAAATTCTTTTAAGCCTTTTTGTTGTTGTTACCACCTGCTGGACCCGTCCTCCATTCATGTTTTTACCTCCGTCTCTCTATTTGAATCAGGACTCAGTTATCCCACACTCTGACTTTGACTCCATTTCCTGTTATTTTTGTCTCTAGTAGTTCAGCAACTCTACCAACAGTTTTAGAGGTAACACCCCTCTGACAGGACCAAAGTCCCAGGAATTCCTCTCTTACTGTGGTGTCTTATAAGCTACCCTATCATTGTGCCCAACTCACAATCAAGACCTGGAAACCTGTCTGCACTGGATGTCTTACCCTTCATTTCCTTCCACATTGGGACTTACCATTTGCTTCCATTTGAAATGACATTTAGAAGCCAAATGAGGCATAAAGATATACGTATATAGAGACAGTTCCCTAAGCCTTCAATGGGGAATGGAACTGCTCTACTGCTAAAGTAACCATAGAGGTGAAAACTTGGCTTTGGAGAAATAATAATTAATGATGCACATAACTGGAATAGCAATGCTACCAGAAAAAGAAGTCACACACACACTCCCCGACTGAGAATTTTATCAGGACTCACCTTTTTGGAAGAATGTGCTGATCATGAATGCAAAGAAAATGGTGGCCGTGGCAAAAGACAGTAGGAAAACAAATATCAAGCTAGGGTCGCTGTTCCTGAACACCGCCACACTGTTCACCTATGGAACAGTCACAAACACACATTGTTTTTACGTGGAAAGAATGAGGAGAGGCATAAAATACCCTGAAAACAATGCAGAACTTTTATTTATTTATTTATTTATTTTAATGAATTTGTTTTATTTTTTATTTTAGAGAGAGCATGAGTGGGGGAGAGGTGCAGCGGGAGGGGAGGGAGAGATAGAGAGAGAAAGAGACTCTTTTTTTTTTTTTTTCTGGATCAGACATGATGTGGTTTAATACTACACAGGGGATACAGAGGGGGAAAAAAAATCCTATGATTGAAGCCAAGGCTTTAAGGAAGACACTTTCTTAGGTATTAGAGAAAGAGACTCTTAAGTAGGCTCCATGCTCCACATGGTACCTGACTTAGGACTTGATCCCACGACCCTGGGATCATGACCTGAGCCAAAATCAAGAGCCAGACGCTCAACCAACTGAGCCACCCAGGGGCCCCAGAACAATGCAGAAATTGTTTTAAAACCACAAGATTAGTCTAAATTAAACAACATATCTTGATTTTTTTTTAAGGCATAACTTTGATCCAGCGTCCATTACCTTTTATAAATTACGCTCTGTACGTGTATCTTCTTTAAAGACAGCATACGTCTGAATTCGATTTTTGATCCAATGTGAATCTCTTTTGCTTTAATAAGAGACTTTATCCCATTTTTCATTGTCGCTCTTATAATAACTATAGTATTTCTTTTGACACCTCACGTCTCCTCTTTTTAATGCTTTCTGGCCGTTTTCTTTGTTTTATGTATTTTGCCATGTGGTCTGGGTTTTCTTGCCTACCTTTATCCAAAGTGCCCCAATTTGGGTAATTTAGAAGCTAAATCTTCATTTATCCACATGGTGGATTATAATTTAGCTATCAGATGCAAGTTAGCAAATTGGAACACCAGATCTCGATGGCAGCACGGAGGAAAATTTAACACGGTAGGATGGGCCTAAGAGGACGTTCTCCATCTTTTACAACAACTGTTTTCAACTATTTGCGGAGTTGTAATGTTTTTAAGTTTATAAAATACTTTAATTAGGAGACGAATCCCACTTCCCTGACGAAATTAACCACACCCGCGTCCAGTACTTGCAGCCTCAGGAATGGAAGGCCGTCAAGGCTCTCCCGGATGGTGCAGCTTCAGTGCCCGATGCCCGCAAAGTTTCCGCAAATACCACCTGAGGTTGCCCCAAGTGCGCGTCCCTGGATGTGCTCTCATCTTCTGTCGAGTCTCAGCCCCGCCGCCCTTCCCGCAGCCACCTTCCTTCCGCTTAGCGTGTGCGGAGGGACCGGACACGCACCTGTGTGCAGAAGAGGACGGTCATGAAAGAAACGGCGAGGAGGGCCGAGACGAAGGACATGATGAACCAGGCAGCCCAATGTTGCCAGTTGTCCACTCCCATCATGCACATGTACTCCTAGAGAAAGCAGAGGAGCCCGGCGTCCCACCACTGCCAGCGCCACGCACCCACCGCGGCCTCGCAGGTGGCCTCGCTCAGACGGTGCTGAGTGCACAAGACGGAGCAAACCGTGCATGGTCGGTGAGGCCACGCAAGGTCTGGGGAGCCTCCGGCAGGCGATTTCTATATACAGTCATAAGAAGCAATCGAAGGAGAAGAAAATTAAAGTGAGGAGGCAGAGGGTCTCTACCGAGAGCAAAAAGTGAGGAGACAGGTAACGGGAGAGCGCAGGCAGGCAGAGAGACTCGGGGCAGCCTGTGTTGGGTTGGGCTCCCGGCTGCAGCCACAGAGAGAGCGACTCATCCTGGGCGGACAGCCTCTCCTGTGCGCTCATCAGGGAGTCGGTCCGCAGGCATCTTCTGAACAGCTGCCGTGGGCAAGTCCAAAAGCAAGGACTCACGTGGTCACAGCAGACGGCATCGCCTACATTGTAAGCAGGTCAAATGACGAACCACCGTCCGACATCCGCCATCCATCCCTCAGGGGGAGGTCCCTCTAACACCCATGCAGCCTCGTCCCTGCCGCGGCCTCATCCCCACCCGGGTCATTTTTCATCGGTGCTTGTACACGTCCCCGCCCCGGGAGAGGCTCGCACCCCACGCCGGGGGGGGGGGGTTACCTTCAGTTTTTTCTCCTTCTCCAGGGCAATGGAATTGATGATGATGAGCTCGATGCAGATGAAGCTGAGCATGAGCAGAAGAGGGAACTCGTTCTGAAGGGTCACCAGGAGCCTGTCCTGGATGTGGGCTCCGTGGGGGAACCTCTTCACAAGCACACTCAGGCCCTCAAACATCTCGGTCGTCCCGTTGTGGGCGTGGTAGTGCATGATGGCCTTGTCCAGCGCATGCTGGATGGCCAGGAAGCCTTCGTTGCTGTATCCTGCGTGAGAGGACAGCAGACACCCGAGCATAAGAGACTCGGAAGACTGGAGGTGCAGAACACCCGCTGAGCGAGGCGGGTCGTGGCTAACGATTCCTGGAGACGATCGGGTGGGAGCGGGCCGGGCTCCCTTGGAGTCCACGTGCCGCCACGGGGAAGAAGGAGCAGCGTCCCCAGGGGCCCCCTGTGGCTGTGATGGTGTCTTTTATCAGAAAACAGGGCAAAGGCATCCTGAGCCCACAAAACAAGGGGTGTCCATTGCCACGCTCTTGCACGGTGGGGCCGCATCCTCTCCCCTAAGTGCTCGGGCTTCAGGGAGAGGGTGCTTGCTCTGCACTTCCGGTCACCAGGACACACGAAATGGTTAAATGCAAAGGACTTGGGAGACACGCGCCCCCTCACCTACTGGGACCTCTGTCTGAGCTGTCACTGCTGTGGTCCGAGGGTTATGGTTGTTGAATTTTGCTGCCAAGCCTCAAAGCCAAACTTTACCACCGGCAACGTTTATTTTCATACAGTGTAGTCGGTGGGCGAAGGTCAGCTTTTGGGAAAAATAGGTCGGAGGGCAGAGATCCCCGCTGTGGGGATCTCGTAAGAGTTAAAGGCCCCACCTCCCAGCAGGGGTTACCGGCCCTCCACATGGGCAGAGCCAGCGTGGGGTACCCAGCAGTAAAGGGGAGGTGACCACAGTCTCCCGATGGCCTTGACCTACACAGACCCCTGGATCTGTCAGCACGAAAAAGGGAGGAACAAATTGCTGATAATAAAATTCCGGGAACCATCACGGAGTCTTCACGGCATATCGGAGCGTTTCCTCTGCAGAACCGTTGGCATCCTTTCTAGAATCGCATGGAATGATAAGCCCTCGGGTTTACATTCCCACTCGCTGGGCTTGCGGGCCCAAAGTTCACGACAGTTGCGTGGCCATCCTCCAGGGAGGTGCACGCTGTCTGCTCGATTTCCTGAGAGCTGTCCGCTCCCTACCAGGGAGGTCTCCCCGAACCCTGCACAAAGAGGGAGACCCCAGGTCTACAGTGACGTGGAGGCCAGGCCTCCGAGCTGCCCCACGGCTTCTCCCCTGGCCTGCAGAGAGCTGAAGACCATCAGGTATATAAGCAAACGTGAGTACGTGCGGAGACAAAAAGAAGAGACGCGCCCTCCTTGTTCCCGTAAAATGCCCCCCCTCCTCCCTCAAACAGCTCAGTGTCACAGCCTTACTGCTCTTTAACTTCCTCTAGAATGAAAGCGTTTTACTCAGTGATATGTTTCTAAACGTTACTCCTTCAGCCTCTTTTGAGCTGCTAGCTTAGCAAGGGTTCAGACGGCAGTGACAGCGCGAGAGGCACGTGCGTGTGGGCGAGACCTAATCGTTGGGGCTTCCTCACCAGGGAGTCCGCCGTCTGAATGCCCTAAGGCCCGGGGCTCTTGGCTTGGGTTGGGAGGGTAGAGGAAGGATGTGCCCCAGCTGTCCACATAATCTTGTTTGGAGGTCAGCTGCGCGATTAAGGAGTTCCTCTGCGTGTAGCTGAAGCGCAGGCGGTACTTAACCTGCAGGGGATAAAGAGAGGACGACCTGGGTCACAGGGTCCCCACGCTCAGCCAGGACTCGTGTCTGCCGCCAGCTGTGATTGGAGGGAAGGCCGATCCCTCCCTCCCCTGCGAGGAGCGCTCAGCGGTCTGCCCAGGAGAGCCCCCTTCAGGAAGGTGGTTCCGAGCGCGGACACTGGAGCGGGGCCACCAGGACCCAAACCCCAGACCTCTCACCGAATGGCAGTGGCGGGTCAGGCGGGTGACTTGACCTTCTTGCCTCGGTTTTCTCATCCGTACAACGCGGATGAGGTTAACAGCACTTGCCCCAGAGGCACTGTAGGATCAAGTCAGATGGTCCCTGGGGTGTGCCTGGCAATTGTTATTGCTCGAAAAGCGTTGCTGGTTGTTTATCAACGTGTCTGTCTCCAGCTGCCAACACCCCCATGCAAGTTCTAGCCATTAATCATCAGGCAGCACAGGACGACACCAAAGCTACACACGAGCGGCTTCCCCGCCCCCGATGGGAGCCACTGCCTTGTCCTCAGACAGACAGACCTACCATACTGGAGCCCATGTCATTAGTGTGGTGGTCTGATGACAACCACAACCAGTCCTTCTGGAAAGTGCCTCCGTCCCCGGCTCGGTTCTGGGCACAAACTCATTTGATGCCCGCAACAGCTGAGTTAGGAACTGCTAGTACTCCCGCTACACCGGTGGGGAAACTGAGGCCGGGAAATGTCGGCGCCCCACCCACGGCTAGAGAGCCAGTGGTTGCCAAGCCGGAATCCAGTCTGCCATCCAGCAGCTGGAATTCATGGTCCCCTTCTCTCAGCCCGAGGTCTCCCTGGGCAGGCCTCTCTTGCGAGGAACCCGAACACTGGGAGGTGCCCCGGGGCCAGGTTGGAGGCAGTGAAACCGGGAGCATTTTCTCACCTCCTCCGGAAGAAAGGCAGCCAGGTGGCAAAGCAGACACAGGGAGACAGGGGGCAGCCCAGGTGGCGAGACTCCCTAATGGGCCCACACGCGAGCCCGGGAAGCATGGTGAGGCCGTTCCGGGACCGGATGGCCCTTACCTTCAGCGGCAGGGGTTGCTTGCTGTCATTGAAGGTGTGATCGAAGACAATTCCAGCCAACACGAAGAAGGCTTTGGGATCCTGGAGTATGTAATTTTCAAACAAAGGCACTGAAGAATGGCCTAGGACTGTGGAGAGAAAAGTCCCGTGAGCAAGCAGGCTGCCCCCCCATCCCCGCCTCCCTGAGCCGGTGCCGGGGGGGCCGCAAGACCCCCCCCCACACACACACCTTCCTCCATCATTCTGCGAACACATGAGTACATTCGATGGCCGGGAGCCACGCGAGGTGGTGACAACGGTCTGAATGCCCGCCATCTCTCGTCCCAGGCCCTCCAGCTGGGCGGCGCTGAGGGCCACAGGAGGTGGAACTCACCCTTGGCCATGTTGATGGGGAGCTGTCCATAGCTCGTCTGCGTGGCTACGGCAACCGAAATGGGAGACAGAATCACAGACAAACGTAGCTGTTCTGATGAGAAAAATAATTGCTCCGGTCCCCGGCCCTCGCGTGTGGCGAGGCTGTCATCTGGGATCCTCCTCGAAAGTAATTCTTGCTCAGAATGTGGAAGGCATCACCGCATCATTCCGCCTCCTCGCCGCCAGCCGGGTGTCTTCTCTGAGAGCTCATTGGCTTCTGCGCCTTTATCTCCGCGCAGAAGTCACTAGCGCACGTCCACGGCTGTCCCTTTCTGCTGTCCTCTTAGGAAGTGGTGAGACTGCGCACCTCGCAGACACAGCCGCTCTTGCGGGAACCTTCTGTGAACTGCTCTGTCCCCTCCCCTCTGTGTGTCCAGTTGCTTCCTTTTAGAAACCCTCGTGGGTGGGCGGGACGCGGTCGCTCTTGCTTCCCCTTTTCTTCATCCTGTTGCTGGACATTGTCATGCGCCTCCCAGACCTTGTCTCCCAGCCATCACACGCGTCCACTCGGTCGTTTCCCTGGGAGCGATTTCGCCGATCTAAATTTCCAAGTCCGCTTCTGTTCCTTTGACCACATCTCCGTGCCATGGGAGTCCAGTTTTGTTTTGGCGTGGCAGCATTCCCTCAAACGTCTCTGAGAATATGGAGTTTTTTCAAATGAACCGACTCATGGTAAGAACCTCCAATGATGCTGGAGGTTATGTGGCATGTCGAAAGGCTCCTCGATGAGACTGAACTTTAACTTTTCATCAGAACAAAACCCATTCTTGGCGGGGGTGGGGGGGGGAGCCAAAACGAATCACTTGGTCCACAAGATTTGAGACTGAATCCAGTCTCCAACTGTGTGATAGAAATGGAAATCCTTTCTCTTCCTGGTTCAGCATTGCTCCCGCTCCCCCGATGTCCTCAGCCCCTTCGGTGGTAGTGGGGGGGGGGGGGGGAGGTCACTACTTTTAGCTGCAGCTAAAAGTTATTTTATTTTCATTTCTAGTTCTGTTCGGTCCTCTTCTTTTTTCAGATCGGCTGGGTAAGTCTGCATCGTGACATATCTGGGGAATAGGATTATGAGTGAATCTTCCTATTTTCCTCTATATAGTTTGTTTCCTTAGCCATATTTATGTTTCTTTTTAAACACACACATGTACATAAACATTTGGCTAAATTGAGGAAAATAGCATACATACAGGAAGGTGTACAAAACACAAACGTTCGTTTTTTTTTTTTTAACGTTTATTTATTTTTGGGACAGAGAGAGACAGAGCACGAACGGGGGAGGGGCAGAGAGAGAGGGAGACACAGAATCAGAAACAGGCTCCAGGCTCCGAGCCATCAGCCCAGAGCCCGACGCGGGGCTCGAACTCACGGACCGCGAGATCGTGACCTGAGCTGAAGTCGGACGCTTAACCGACTGCGCCACCTAGGCGCCCCTAAACGTTCGTTCTAATGAGCGGTTATAAAGTTCACAGCGAAGTCATCACCTCTTGGGTCAAGAAACAAAATTTGTACCCTAGATTTGTTTGTTTAGATAGTTTCTTACTATCAATTTGGTTCTTCATTGCTTTCAAGAACGTAGTTTTAATATTTGTCCAGCGTATGTTTTTCAACAGGCCAACATAACCCAGTCTGCCCTCTTAGCAGAAACAAATAGCAGTAATCTCTTTCCCAGAAATTTCCGGGAAACATCCCAGTGTTTCCTTGGCTCTGGCTGAGTTAGGTGTCATCCCTGGACAAGTCACGGTAGCAAGGGGACCACGAAGTGCAGAGTGGTGTAGCCACGGGAGTCATCCTGAGCCCAAGGAGGAGGCACCAAGGGCTGACGGCAGGAGAGGGGTCCAGCCCCCCAGGGAAAGAACAGGCTGTGAGGATCGTCAAAAGGGAAAACAGATGTCTGTCACGGTTTGGAGAGCTCCTCAAACCACTGCCCTTCCTTCCAGGGTGTAGGATTTACTTAGGGGAATGGCCCCAAAGAGCAAAATCTAATTTTTATTTCTTATCCTATTATGTGATTTGAAAATGTGAATGCAAACAATTCTGGTGTTCATCGTTCTTATTCTTTTATTGAAATTTTAAGGTTTATTTTTTGTGTTTTTCTTTTTTTAACGTTTAAATTCCAGAAAAATACATTCTAAACTTCTAGCAAAGAATTCTGCGAAGTGGCATTTGGGGTGAGAACTTGACTTTTCACTCTAAACCTTATATTATTTCACGTGCAGTTATGTAATAAGGAGAGAGGGAGGAGCGGAAGGCAGACGGCCGTCTGTCCCGGGGACGCAGAGCGCGCAGAGAGAAGCGTGGCGGCGGAAGCGGCCGGAGGCGGAAGCAGTGGCAGGTCCCGGAACCGCGGGACTCAGCCCAGGAGACTCCCGCAGGCGGAGGTCGGAAGCGTCCTTGGCACAGCGCGCACGCGCAGAAGAAAGCCTGGAAGGAAAGCCCTGGAACCTGCGACGCCAAGGACCGAGAATCGACAGCGATGAGGTAAGAAGTGAGTCGGAGGTAATGAAACAGAATTAACGCCTCGAGACACCCCATACGAGGAGGGAGACGGTGCCCGAGGTAGGATCTTAAGGGAAGACAGAAGAGAAATGCTTTCTTCTCCGTGGAGGCGACCGAGGGGTCCCAGGGAGTGAGGTGGGGATCCAGGCCGGATGCAAAGGCCGAATGTTTGGGGAGCCGGAGGGCTGCTCACGGACAGGAGCCCAAGGCCCCGGGTTCATCTCCGTCTCCCTGCGAGACCCGGAGAGCAGCCAGAGGAAAAGACAGATCGCGCCAGACAACTTCTCTTCAAACCCCTGCCACACGGGCGGCCTCGCGCACATGGAGGAAAACCCAAGACTTGGGGGAGGCGTGTGAGTCTCCTGCACACACTCCAGCTCGGACCACTCCCCCCCCCCTTCCTTCAGCCTGGTTCAGGGCGGCCACACCCCACCCCAGCCTCGCCGCGGCCCCCACCTGCCCCCCCACCCCGAGTCCCGAGGCCGCCGTCATCCCACTTCGCAAGTCGTGTTCTTCACCTGCACCGCGGTATCATCTCCAGCCTCCTAAGAGGAGCTTTCTCTGTTGTGTTTTGTTTCCAATCTCGTACTAGTAGAATTAGAATGGTATTTTAGGTTGCCAGGCAAGCGCAAAGCCCCAAAACAGCGGCCCCCACGCGTGTTGCCACTGAGGGCCTTTAAAAGAATTGTCTGCGTTGAGTGGCACTCAGAGCTGGGAGAGGAGAGCCCTTCCTTTTCACTCGGTACCTTATGTATTATTAGAACACCTTTACAAAAGCATATATTACAATTATGGCAATTTTGGAACATGACTCCACATTTTGTGGATTCCGCGTTTTGAAAAACCGTATCTACCTAACTCCATTAACGAACGCATTTATTCATTCAGTAAATATGTATTGAGCAGCGAGTGTCTGCCAGGCATGAAGGAGGCCCAGTGATGAAGAAAACGGACAGGGCCCTCTGCCCTCAGGGAGGTGGAGCCCAGCAGGCTTGTCAACCGCAGACTTGACACAGAAAGCCCATAGTGGCGGTGTGACGAACCGTGAATCCGAGATCTCTGACCGTAGCCAAAGGGGCTCAGAGAGAGACGAAGGCGCAGCTGAGAAATCTAAATAAAGCCCGGCTGGCAGCTTGCCCAGTGCCCCTGAAAGGAGCCTGGAGGGAGGGGTAGGGCCAGACCCGGGACTAGTGCAGTGGAAGCCACCAGAGGGGCAGAAGCACAAGGCTGGCCAGACCTTTCGGACCTTTGAGAGACCTTCTTGGCTGCATGCAGAGACTGGCTTAGAATTGATTAAAATGAGAAGAGAGACGGACGGCTAATTCAGACTCTCCCAAGTCGCCGGAACGTGGTTGCGGCAATCAGAGACCTCGTGGGCGGCTTTCCCCCAGCTGTCACCTCCACAGACATTTTAGGATTTGGAGACCCCAGATACGGAATCACGACGATACGCACCCTCAGGAAACAGCCTCGAACTCTATAAAATTGCCCTCCCTCCCTGTCCTTACCCCATCTTTATGTCTCACCTTCAAACTCAACGTCAAAGGATTTCCCCACCGCTTCAGTGATAGCCTTCAACGTTTCGCTTTTGGAAGAGACATACGCTAGTTGGTATCTGGTGTGAGTAGGAAAATAGAAGAAGTCTGGCAGTAAACCGATATCGATGGCCAGGTAGTTGACAGGAGGTATTTTCTTGGGCAAACTGTTTAAACGCAGGTACATGACGATCATGGAGAAGAGTAGCGGCATTAGGATTTCAAGCACTGTTATCAGAGTCTTCCGCTTCTAGAACAGAAAGGAAAGCAGCATGAGAACGCGAGTGTTAAGTCACCACACGGCGACGTTTCTTCCATTTAAGAAGCCCTTTCATTCTCCCCCACCCCCAGCCTCCCTGCACAACCCACAAAAAAGAAGAAAATAGAGAATGAACTAAATGGCTTCTCTTTCTGGACTTTTCCATGACATCAGCGTCGAGAAACCAGTAATGATGATGCAACCTTCAGTGATGACGGTTTGCGGAATTCCAGTGGGAACCTGGCTTATTTGTAGGAACGGGCCCCGTTTCAAGTACAGTTGTTGATTTTTTCTTTAATCAGTTATTAGATGCCAGCGTGACATAAACATTCAGTCCCCCCACCCCGGACATGCCCACGGCTCCAAGGACCACCTTACCCACCTTCAGGATGAAATTCTTCCAAAGAAGAAGTTTTAAATTCCTGACCATTGTCACTTTCCCACCGGAAGGGGAGGGATCAGCACCAGCTGGGAAGCAAACGGGGCAACTGTCAGGCATCACACACACGTGCCCTCCTGTCCTTGAGCTGTCTGCTCTCGGACTTTCAGAGCATCGTTTCTTCTTTTTTGCGGGCTCCCCCTCCTCTGCCCACCTCGAAACATCCCAGCGGGGCTCGGCTGACACTCCCCCGTGGGCAATCTCACTTGGTCTTTGATGTTGAAATGCACGGACACACTGATGATTTCCACATTCCTGTCTACAGCCTGCACCTGCCGGGTCTCCTGCCCCAACCCCTCCTGTCCGAGCAGGAGCCCAGCTTCATGAGGACAAGGTTGTGCGAAGGTCTCCCTGTCTCCTCTCGTCTCCCATTTTCCCCTGCCCCGCTGCGGGCCTGGCTGTGATCCAGAAGGGACAGAAGTGGCTTCTGCTCACAGCCCACGCACCTGCCGTGGCATGCCTCCCTCATGCGTCATTAAGCTACTGAACGTGCTGTTTATTTACTTCTTGTTTGATCTGATTTCCCTCTGGAATGCATGCTCCATGAAAGCAGGATTTTTTTGGGGGGTGGGGGGGGTGGGAGGGGCTGTTTTTTGTTGTTTCACTACGGAGCCCCCAGACTCCAGAGCAGGGCCAGCGCGTGCTCACCACTCAGTAAACACGGGCCCGAGAATAAAGGCGTCAGAGGGCACACGGCTTATGTGAGGACATGGCTGTGACAGAGATGCTTGTGGAGAAAGGACGCTCTGCGGTGGCAGCATGAGCCTCCCCTTCTGCTCTCTGCTTCTCGCTATATCACGTGCTTTAGCTTTTAGCTGCTGCCACCTCACGATCTTCATTTCCAGAAAAATGTTTTTCCGCTAGTGAAAGAACGGATGTGTTTTCCTCTGGTGAAAGCGTCTCTGACGTTGCCGATTAGAAACGAAGACACCGCGTTGTGAGCTCACTAAACGTCACTGGAGGTGAGCTTTAAAATGGCAGGTGGTGTGATTGAATTTCACCTCCATAGTAGAAAAAAAAAAAACAAAACAAAACAAAAAAAAAAAAACGAGCGCAAGACAGGTTTAGAGTAGTCAGCCGTGGCTGCAGCCCATCTGGTCTGGCCAGCAACCCCAACCACCGGCATTAATTTCCTGCCCACGGCTCTGCCGCCTCCTGGGACTGGCTGGACTCGTCTCTAGGTCTTGTTATGGCCCTATGTTATGTGTCCCCCCCGCCCCATTTGCTGTGTCTAAGTCCTAATCCCAGGATCTCAGACGGTGACAGTTTTTAGAGGCAGGGACTTGACCGGGGCGACCAAGGTAAAATGAAGCTGTCGGGGTGGCCTGTGTCCTCACAGAGGAGATGTGGACACAGAGGCAGCGGGGGGTGCGCGGGCACAGAGAACGCACGAGGGGTGGACAGCCCAGGAGAGGGAAGGAAGTGGCAGGAGGGAGCACCCTTGCCACCGCCTGGATCTTGGACATCTGACTTCTCGAACTGTGGACAAATACATTTCTTTTGTCTCGGGCACCCGGTGTGTGGTGTTTTGTGAGTGCAGCCGGACTGGATGAAAACAGCTCTGCGCCACGGTCCGCTCCCAGCTGGAGCATGTTGCTCTAATGGCAAGAAGCCAAGCCAAGCCGCGCAAACGCATTTAAAGCATCTTGTCACACTCCCTTGTGAACCACCCCACCGGCCAGAGTGCATCACACAGCTGAGCCCAAGATCAATACAAGAGGGAAGGAAACCGTCTGCTCTGATGGGGGGGGCACTGCTGACTCACCTGGTGAGGGGCATGGGTATAAACTTTAATATGGGGGGAGAAGGAAGAATGGGGAACAGCCACGTACCAAAACACCCAACTTTTAGGGCTTCAGAGCTGGTGTCGGAATTTGCCAGCCTGAACAGCCACGCCATGTAGACGAGGAGGTGTTTGGCTCATTACTGGCCCGGCACAGATTCAAAGAAAAAACACCCAGAGACCATGAGAATGCATGGTTTTCTCCAACCGCAGCTGCTGTTCAGTGGAATGGGACAGGAAAATAATTAGAGTAGATGGAGGTTTTCATACTGAGCACCTTTTCAAATTTGTGATAATACAGGTAGACTGTTCCTTTTATTTTTTTATTTAAAAAGTTGTTTTAATGTTTATTTTGGCGGGGCACAGTGCAAGTCGGGGAGGGGCAGAGAGAGAGAATCCCAGACAGGCTCCGTGCTGTCCGCACCGAGCCCGACGTGGGCCTTGAACTCACAAAACCATGAGATCACGAACTGAGCTGAGATCAGGAGTTGGACGCTTAACTGACTGAGCAACCCAGGCACCCCTAGACTGTTCCTTTTAAAAGAAAGTTTACTTCGGTGCTATTGATTTACGACAAGTAGCAACTATGCACGGAAGGCACTGTATCTGGGCGCGATGCCACCATCAAAAGATGAGTCAGTAATGGGGGCACCCAGCTGGCTCAGTCCGTGGAGCACGTGACTCTTGGTCTCAGGGTCTTGAGTTCAAACCCCATGTTGGATGTACAGATTACTTAATAAAAAAAATAAATTAAAAGATCAGTCAGTAATAGAACTCATCTTGTTGGAAATCAGTAGCTTAAAATAAGCCCTAGTAAGGGAAATAATGTGTACGAAGGAAAAGGTTACAGTACAAGGTGGAAACGAGAATCAAAAGCGGTACACTTAAGGGTAACCCAATTGATGAAACAGAACAAAATTCCAGAAAGAGGCCACAGATACACGGTCACTTGATCTTCCACAAAGCTGACGCTGCAGGACAAGGACGCACGGTCTTCCTGACAGATGGCTCAGGGCCGACCAGCTATCGATATAGGAGACCATGTATCCTGACTCCTGTCTCCCACCACACACAAAGTACCAACTTCAGATGAAATACAGATCTAACTGTGAAGAGTGAAGCAATGAAGCTTTTAGGGGGAAAGATAGGAAAACATATTCGTGACCTTGTAGCAGGCAGAGATTTGTTAAAGACGACTCTAAACCCCTAAACATAAAACTTGGGCAAACTGAACTGCATCCAAATTAAGGATTTCAGTTCCAGAAAAGAGCCAGTAGGAGAGTAAGTGAAGCCAGAATGAGTAAAGGTATCTTCAAGTCACTAAGAAAAAGACAGACTTCCCACCAGAAAAATAGGCTTGAGAGACTTGAGCAATTTCCAAAAGAAAATGCCCAAATGCCTGACGGACGTAAGAAAAAGTGCTCAACCTATCTGGTCTTCAGGAAACGCGTTTTAAAGCCACAGCGGCCACACTGAGACACAGATTTCTGCATGGGATGGTCACTGGACGGCACTCTGGAAACGAGCACTTTTGCAGAGAAAAGGAGGCAGGCGAGTCAAAGGGGTCCAAGCCCTGGCCATTTCCACAGGCACAACACGACACAAACTCTGAACCGTCCACCCCAAGCTCAGTTGCGAGGACGGTATGCAAACAGGTCCCAGAAAAGCAAGACAATCCATTTGTGCTGTATTTAGGAAAACAAATTACCGGGATAGAAAAAGAAAAAAAAAAGGGTTAAAATAAGCAACAGAGCAACTATTCACAACATCTATGAGAGCGTTACTACTAGCCCTTTGAGCCAACAACCTCACGTCTAGGCATCTATTCTACAGGTGCACCTGTGCACGTATGAGCTGACGCCGTACAAGGTTATTCACTGCAGCATTGTTTATAATAGCGAAGGAGTGAAAAAACAGCCTGGTACCCACCATAGGGGATTAGTTTATAATACAAACGATTACACATCTGAACAATGAAGTGATACGCGATCGTAGAAAAAAATTAAGAGCTCAGAGTACTGGCTGTCTTCTGGGATCTGCGGGATAAATGCGAGAAAATAAGTTATGTTATTTAGACCACCCAATCTGTCGTATTTGTTCTGCAAAATAGGTATTCTGCAGCCTGAGCTGAAGTAGAGAATAGTGTGTCCATCGGCGCGGGCTGTGTTTAAGGGGACGGGGAGCGTGCACAATCTCTACCTTCTCAGTTCTGCTGGGAGCCTAAAGCTGCTCTAAAAATAAAATCGATCTTTAAAGAACTGTTTTGACAGAACTATCAACAGGAAAATTCATGATCCTAAACCCCCCTTCATGATTAAATCAGACATTTCAAGTGTGCCTGGGTGGCTCAGTTGGTTAAGCCTCCAACTTTATTTCAGCTCAGGTCACGATCTCACAGTTTGTGGGTTCGAGCCCCACATTGGGCTGTGCACTGACAGCACGGAGCCTGCTTGGGATTCTCTTGACTCCCCTCTCTCTCTGTCCTTCCCCTGCTTGTGTTCTCTCCCTCTCTCAAGAATAAATAAATAAACATAAAGAAAAAGAAAACTTAAAGCCCACAGAAATCCATTAGGAATATGTGTGATTTTTTTTTTTTTTTAAATCACACAGTCCACGACTGGTTAACCTGGCTCATGGTACAAACTCTGTGCAGTTACACAGCTGGATGAGCATCTTATAGGTCATTGGCATCTTTGTCACCCATTGTTAGGGGTGTCAAGGGCACGTGTAGTGCTTTAGCTTAATGGCTGGGCTGTTGATGACAGGGAGGAAGGACAGTACTCCTTTTCCTGAACACCTAGGAAAACCGAAGACACCAAATGAGTCCAATACAGGAAAGCTAGGTGGAATCATATGCTCGTTTCATATGCCGATACATTTAAAGATATTTTTTAAATGCCACAGCTGAGAATCTGGCCAGAAAAGGATCATTGGTAGAGATCACGAGACCACCTGTAGTCTGCAACAGCCTTTTTCTTTGAAAGAATTGTTTCTGTAATGTGTTTCCTGAACTCTCAATTTCTCAAGAGGGGCTCCTGGGTGGCTCAGTTGGTTAAGCATCTAACTTCAGCTCAGGTCATGATCTCACAGTTTGTGGGTTTGAGCCGCACATTGGGCTTTGTGCTGACAGCTTGGAGCCTGCTTCGGGTTCTGTGTCTCCCTCCCTCTGTCCCTTCCCCACTCGTGCTCTGTCTCTGTCTCAAAAGTGAATAAATATTAAAAGCAATAAAAAGTAAAAGTTAAAAAAATTTAAATTTCTTGGAAACAGATACTGTTT